TTTAACCAGGAAAAAGATAATAAATTTTGGTTTAGCATTTTATATTAAAATAGAAACATTAACGGTACATTGTGACATATTATTTACATAATATGCTGCGCCATAATCGTCCTACTTTTCTAGCTTAAAATATTATTTCATAAAATCTGGATTCAGGTTACTTCAAGGCTTAGTGGCTTACTTACATTTTGGCTTAAAACCAATTTCATGAAATCCATTAAGTAGACCCGCTGTAAGTTCGTAGTAGTGTTTTACTAATATTAAAGGTAGACCAATCATTAATTTAATTGCTTATGTACGTTAAACAAACGAACAAATAAAATTAATTATGCACATTATAAGTATTATTGAATTGCGTTTAATAAGATATTTATTAATAGATTTTTTCATAAAACAGGTGGCAAACGGGCAGGAGGCTCAACTGATATTAAGTGATACCGCCCATGGTCACTCTCAATGCCAGAGGCATGAAATGCACTATCGCGAGTGCATTGCCGGCCTTTTAAGAATCGGTACAGTATTTTCTTGACTAACAAAGCCTAAGTTAAATTAGTTTGGAAATACTTCAGTGGGCAGCTGGTTCCACAAAGTGGTGGTGCGCGGCAAAAACTGCCTTAAAGTAGGTGTGGTTGAGTTGTGACTTTGATTTTTAAAAGCTCAGCTCAGTTGTGGAACGACAAACAACTCCTGTGAACACATCCGTCGTAAATCGCCAAGGGATCAAGCCGCTCCGAAAGCCATTGGTCGTCGCCGATTCGAACCCCTTTTTGTTGAATACGGTCAAGTAGAAGGAGCTGGTATTGGGGAGCTCCCGCTGAATTTGGGCTTTATACGGTTTCAAGCGATAGCACGGAGTGAAGTACCGTGTCGCCTTACTGAGCACAACAAGCTTCTTGGAGGCTAAATATGTGCAAATCGTATTTAAAATACCAAAATACAATGCGATGCTAAGGGTATCGGACTCGAGACAGCACTAAGTATAATTTAAAATCTCACATAAAGCAATTACTAATAATTTAATTTAAAAAAATATTTTTTGACTTACCCGAGTTATAATTCGCGCTAAGTCTGCACCCCGAATGTTACCCTAATAATAAATAATTTTATTTCTATTCGTAATATCCATGGATGAATGGAAAATTAAAAACAAAGATAATTCGACCTCATTGTTTATCGTATCAGATCAGCAAACAAACTCGATTCGTAATCTGGTTTTAGTGGCTACGTAAACATACAGTAATCGAATTTGTATGGTTTTTCCATGAAAATTTTCCTTGTTAATCAACTGTATTTGTAAGATATTAAAAATTTTACTTTAGAATAAATTTTTCTTATTTATTTTTCTAATTCCGCCAATTACTAAACCCATGTCTTACAAATAAGTTGTAAAACGATATCGCGAATCGAGTTACATGACTCGAGATATGAGATTGATAGATGTGAGAGTTTTAACGACACCTATCATCTGTGCCTACGAATCACTACGTCATATCCAGAAAAGTTATACCGGCTAACGCTCGAACCCAATAACCTATCTCAATCCATAATCCATCATATAGTAATATTAATCCAAATGTTGTAACAAGTGTGCCAATAACCAATCGACGGATTGTAATAGCCATCTGTCGATACAAGCTATCTATGGGAGGTCGTATCCGTGTCTGTGGATAGACCTTTGTATGAAAATGACAGTTGACGAAAGCTCTATATCAACAGTTAATTATTTTAACAGATTTTGACTTACACCAGTTTTTTTAATAATTAAAAAAAACTGTTTGTTATGTTTTAAACATACACGTGTATATTTTAATGTTATTTGTACGGTTTTGTTTACGTTATTTGGTTTACATTGATTATCAAATATGAGTGAAAACTCGGTAAAATGGAACGAAAAAGAGCATTTTATCCGTCGCCAAAAATGGATTGTCTTCGTAGGGTTTGGTTATTGGGATGCAGATAGGAGATCGATCGACTGTCACGGTCTGATCTCAGATTGTTTTCAATCTGAGATTGTGTATTAATTATTGGGTTCGGGTGTAAGGAACTTATCGATCTTACATTTCGGGCCGGCCAGTCAGTGGTTTGACTGGCCGAGGATACAATTCAGCCTTTAGGTTGGAGAAACAGTTTTTTTTATGTAACATGAGGCTAACGGCTAGGAGGCTCATCTGATGTTAAGTGGTACCGTGGACACTGATGCCAGAAAGCTTGCAAGTGCGTTGCCGGTACAGTACACCATCCTTACTCCACAGTCAATAAAAAAAATAATACGCGTCAAAACTTATGAACAATATTGTCATAATTAAATGCTTTTAATCGCACTTAAAATTAACATGGACAACGTTTAGTGGATTGTAATTACGAAAAACAAACAAACTGTTTTGAATCCAAAAAGAACGAAACAATAGGTTTAATTAAACACTTATAGCAATTTGTGAAACAATTGTCTAAAAAATGTATTAGTTTTCACAAACTCCACTGATTTTAAAGGTTTTTTGAAAGCCTTTTGAACATGTAAATTGAAAACGTGGGCTTTTGCATAGGATGGTCTATGTAGCAATCAAAAGATTATAGAGGTACGAACAATATATCTCTAGCTATCGTGTAAAATGAATACACACACATTTAATGACACTCGTCTGTTTCAGTTTTTAATAGCAGACCGAAGGGGTCTTTCCTGGGGAAAAGAGTTTTGCAACTAACCAATAATTACTTACCCTTGTTGTTCTAATACCGTGATTATTTTTTTATGGGGCCAAAAGGCAGACGGCTTACCTGAAAATAAGTTATCCCAATGACACAAGGTTCACGATTGCGTTGCTGATCTTTTTAGAATCGGAACATTATTTTCTTGATCGATCTTAAATCCATTTGGTCCGGAATAATTCGATGGGCACATTTTGGAGAGTGTTATCGCGCATGAAAGTAAATTAATGAGTTTTGATTCCGTGTGAACTAAAACTCCTTCCTTGGAACACCTATTTGACTATAAAGTAATGAATGTCTGTGTCATGTATCGCGTCGGCTAGTTACCGCGTGATTTAACGTTACTTCTGTAACATATTAAACAGATACGAGCGTACAACTTTCAATATATCAGTTGTCAATATAAATTTTCGCAGTAAATCATCTGAGTAATGGTTGTATAATATTCCTATCAATATGGTATTTCCGATCAAAGATATTGTTCATAAAATGCTTGCTTGTACTCCAAACATTTGCTCGAAAACATAATTGAAGTGTTTCCAGCGCGAATGAATGCTCCAATTTTGTATTGAAATGTTAAGGTTTTACTGTGTTATACGTTTCCATTCATTTTAATAATATAATTTATTTGTATTTCTAATATTCAAATATTGTTATATACATGCCTACTATACATAAATATACCCGATACAAATTTGATATGCAATTGAAATATAGTTGTAACTTAGCCGATATTTGCACGTTTCATTAATATTTTTATAATCACTAAATTAAAAATGGTGGCATTTCTAAAAATAGCTTATGACCTTGAAACGTCAGATGCAAAGTTATTGCTAAAAACCATCTCAATCATGTTAGCTTTCTTAAAACACACAATGAGTCCATTCGTTTAGTCAAAGTTATAACACCCCTTCTTATGCGTCGAGGTTTAAAAACAAATTTTCTTAATATAATTCTATTTACTCAACCAAGATTTATTACGACCACTTAATTACAGTGTATAGGTACGAGAGCGTAAACATCTCGTGGAACAAATAAATACGAACTTCTTACTTGAGCCTTAAATGAGTTGATGTGATTTATTTCTGTGTCTGTATCATTGATAATTTTGAGTTAACCAACTGGTTTGCTGCCCGATGCATTTTTGAATCTCCTACTCAACGACTACCTTTCTAACGTACAATTTAATGACAACGATGCTTTAAGTAATAATTATACATTCTTGCACAACTGTGTAAAACCAAAAATATTTTCCATAACGTAGAGAGACCATAACTGCCCATTTGCCCGCATAGTCGGTTATGTGGCCTTCAAAATGTTTACTTTACGCGGGGTGAGAGTGACTCATGTGGATGGGATGATCACGGCTCATGGAGCACGTTTCGTTTGATCTCCCGTTCGCTAAACACTATTTATGGCAGACTAAGGGCACCCGCTTATGGATGTCAATACTCTGTTAATGCCATGATTACTATTGCTGTTTGTCGTGATTGTGTAGGAAAAGTGTGCGTACAACTGTGGTTATGTAGGCTGTGAGGAACATGATACATTTTTAAGTTTTCATTTAATCCTTCTTTGATTTGCTAACAAACTCGAGACAGATAATATTTTATAGACTTTTTTATCGATAATTGTTTGCATTGTTCTGTTCTGTGACAAAATATCACTTACTTATTTCTTCCTACGCATAAAATGTTAGAGAATTTGTATTATACATAAATAAATAAAAGCAAAATAAAAACAGTGTTGGCCTAGTGGCTTCAACGTGCGACTCTCATCCCCGAGGTTGTAAGTTCGATCCCCGGCTGTGCACCATGACATGCTTTCTATGTGCGCATTTAACATTCGCTCGAACGGTGAAGGAAACCGACATGTCTTAGACCCAAAAAGTCGACGGCGTGTGTCCAGGCACTAGGGGCTGATCATCTACGTGCGTATTAGATTTAAAAATGATCATGAAACAGATTCAGAAATCTAAGGCCCAGACCTAAAGAGGTTGCAGTGCCACTGATTTATTTTATGATACATAAATATTCTTCCACTTCCGGTAATTGAGACAAATAAATATATGCCTAATGTTGTCACATTTTACTTATTTGTTTTATTAACTTTGCCTTTTCCTTGTTTCAGATTCACTGCGATATATCAAGAAATGCCAGCGCAATATGTCCTTGAAAGTGGTTACCGAGAACAGAATGCCTGCCAAGAATGTAATCTCCAAATGGCTCAAAGTAAAACAAGGAAAACATAAACACACACCATGGCGCTAGAGAGCGAATAACCATTGGGAAAATATGAATGCGACCGATCCGGAAATACTGGTGGCAAATGGCCAACTCTACAATTTGCACAAAGGACCCAAATACACATTGGAGCCAGTAGGCGCCGCTTATAACATTGTCCTTGAACTGAATGCGTCCTATGAAAACAGCTCACTATATAACATCAGTGATGAAACAAAAGAACCGTGGGGTGAATACGTAACCCTCCTACAGGATCGAGCAGTTCTAGTTATTTTCCTCCTCCTGTTCTCCTTGACAACTGTATTTGGCAACATGCTAGTCATATTAGCCGTGATACGAGAACGATACTTGCATACATCAACGAACTACTTCGTGACATCCCTGGCTGTAGCTGACTGTCTAGTAGGACTCGTCGTAATGCCCTTTTCTGCCCTTTATGAGGTCCTAGAACATACGTGGTTCTTTGGCATGGATTGGTGTGATGTATGGCGTTCCCTGGACGTATTATTTAGTACAGCCTCGATACTAAATTTATGCGTTATATCGTTGGACCGGTATTGGGCTATCACGGACCCTATTACATATCCGATGCGAATGAGCGGACGGAAGGCGGCATTTCTTATAGCAGCAGTTTGGGTTTGTTCCGGAGCAATATCCTTTCCTGCGATCGCATGGTGGCGTGCCGTCCGCTTAGAGGAAGTTCCGGACTATAAATGCCCTTTTACGGAAAACTTAGAGTACATAATATTCTCATCGACTATATCCTTTTATTTGCCACTTTTTGTGATGGTGTTTACATATTACCGCATCTATCGTGCCGCGACAATACAGACGCGTTCGTTGAAGATCGGCACAAAGCAAGTGATGCGTCCTAGTGGGGAGTTAGAATTGACTTTACGGATTCACAGGGGTGGTACTATGAGACAGAGAAGTGAGGTGTGTCATGGTGTATGTACTCCTGAAGAGCCTGACCAGGAGCCTCTAACTGCGTTGCAGAACAATGGTTTGTCACGGTCATCGACCCGGCTTACCAATGTGACGCATAACAAACATTTGCCCAAAAACTTTTCGCTTTCCCGTAAACTAGCAAAGTTTGCGAAGGAGAAGAAAGCTGCTAAGACGTTAGGTATCGTTATGGGAGTGTTTATAGTGTGTTGGTTACCTTTTTTTGTGGTGAACTTGCTTTCGGGAATTTGCTCTTCGTGCATTGCACATGAGGAGATTGTGAATGTTGTGGTCACGTGGTTAGGCTGGGTCAACTCTTCAATGAACCCGGTAATTTATGCGTGTTGGAGCAGAGATTTTAGAAGGTGAGTTAAATTGCACATACAATTATTACAATTATTTTATTATTAAATTTGCATAATACTGATACAAAATAACTAAAAAAGCTACTTATAGAAATTGTAGCTCAGTAATTTTAATAACCCCTATACAATAAGTACAATTCAACCTACATTCTGTTTATTATGACTATTTGCGTGATACTGATTGTCATTTGTTTTTTTTAAATACGTTATTCCTAATTATATAATATATAGATCTTATGTGTGTTTGTAATTAAACTCCTCCTAAGCGGCTGGACCGATTTGTATTCAAGTTTTTTCGAGAATGGTTTAGCTTTACAGTTAAATTTTTTTTTTTGTATATAAGTCGTGTGTAAAGGCCGTCTATCAATTTAGCACCTAAATGAAATTCACGAAACAGATACATCGATGTAGGCCTAAAATCCTACCAACAAAATTACCAAACCCAATTTGCATAAATTATAATCAAAATAGTCAGGTATATAGAATCACGCTTTTAATTAATATACAATATTATTTACTCGTAAATCGTGTATCGAATAATTTATGCAATCAAAGCAAACGTCACGTAGTAAGGAATTACTTTCGCGAATAGCCCTTCAAAGCAAAACTATCCTTGAAATAACATATCCTAAAGCAATATACTCTCTGAAAGTAAATACGGTTATAAATACTGATACGAGAATTCGCAGGATACTGATTTTAAAGGTCCTAAAGGGATAATATAAGTTTTTACACTGCGACCTGTCCTGGGGCTTGAGACAAGAAATTTGTTTGAGAATGATATTGGCTCACACTTTGTCACGTGACCATTTCCATACAAATTCGTTTAGTGTAAGTCACGCCAGTCAAGTCAAATCAAGTCAAAAAAAAAAAAGAAATGTACATATGAAATGCTTCTTACTTTACATTTAGAACCATGTATTACCTATTAATTGCAGAAAAAAATGTGTAGACTTCGAAGTATCATTAACTGAGAACTGTCCCCCCGGTAATTCACGATAACATTAAAACCAAAATTTGTCAAAAGGTTAACTAGTGAATAAGTGTTAGTGCACATGAGTGCCAAATGCTAAAAAAATAGACACAATAATGAGTTATTGTTCACATTTTTATAGATTATACTTTTTATAGTCAATACGTTTATTTTTACTATCATAACAATCAAATATACAGTATTTAAAAAAAATATTTTTTTATTTTTATTAATTTTTTTTATTTTTATAGTAAATCAGGTAAGAAATAGCCTTAATTATAATGGTTATGATGTCTCAGTCATGAGAGTAATTTTTATTAGTATGTAATGCCGTTAGCTTTGAACAAACAAAACTTACCTACCGCTGCAAATAGTGCTAAAAATTATTAAAAATACAGCATAAAGTTTAATTATTAAGCGTCAAACTTGAACTGAAAAAAATTTCAACTATAAAATAGAAACGGACTTAAATAAAAAAAATAATAGGTACCTTGTATAGATTATTTGTAATTTTCAAATTAATATTTTTCTTAAAAAAACGTTATGAACACGTCCAAATACTTTCTGAAACCAGACTTAAAAAAATATACCTGTATATTTATGTTGAAATAGCTCACGTGATCACATTTGCATGACAAAAATTCAATTTTAAACTTGTTTTAGGGTGTACAATGGATGCAATAAAATGCACGAACACTCGACTTTATTGGATCCGACCTTGATATATTATGTTTCGTAAAACATAAAATGCATACGTGATACCCACTACTTTGTCTGCATTGAAATAGGAATCAAAATGTTCATAGTATTCTGTGAGGTTGAGGTTTTAGTCACAGCAGTGTTGGCCTATTTTTCAACGGTCAATGGAATATTTTTATATGTAACACTTGTATGGTGATGGTATCTTGGCAAAATGCCTTAGACCGGAAAATCAACCGGTTTGTCATTTAGAAGGCAGATCTGTAAATCCGATGCCATCTGAAGCCAATACAAATATAGGGTTGCACGACAGTATTAATATTGTTATATGTTTTTGGGTGCACCCTAGTGGAAAATGATTTCAACAGTAACGTGTTCAATGTCGAATTTCTGTAAGAATATCAATGTTTATTGAATATAAAATAAGTGAGTGCCCTTGTTATTTGGTTATAGACTTATTATTTAAGTTTAAACTCTAACTCTGTATGTGTAATACAAAGCATTAAACCTTTGTAATATAAGTGTAACTTAACAACACTTTGTAGTTTGTAATATTTATAATGTCTTACAGAATAATTATTGAGTAAAAAGTTATATATATACAGTATATACATTTTTTTTTATGTAATAGGAGGCAAACGGGCAGGAGGCTCACCTGATGTTAAGTGATACCGCCGCCCATGGACACTCACACTGCCAGAAGGCTCGCAAGTGCGTTGCCGGCCTTTCAAGAATTGGTACGCTCTTTCCTTGAAGGACCCTAAGTCGAATTGGTTCGGAAATACTTCTGTGGGCAGCTGGTTCCACATAGTGGTGGTGCGCGGCAAAAACTGCCGCTCAGTTGTGGAAGACGGACGTCGAGGTGATACGGATGGTATTTAAATACATGAAGTTGTTATAATTATATATTGTTAAATTTAGCTTTAGTGAGATGAATGAATGCACAAGTTTAAATCCAGAAACGTGCAATTAGTGTTACTTCTTTTCCATGAGTTTGACTATCGATTGAAAGTCTCAGGTGGTATAACGGTTTCCGATGAATAGAAAGTCAATCACCCCGCCCAAATCCCTAGTATCTCTACTCTCTGTGAATCGCTACAAATCCCCGTCAAGTATTGCAAAAAGCCGAACGGAAACGTGGAAATTTATTCAATATTCATAAATCTATAAGTTATTACTTGTTGTTGTGACTCTCATCCCTGAGGTATAGGTCCGATCACCGTCTGTGCACCAATGGACTTTATTTCTATGAGCGCATTTAAGATTCGCTCGAACGCTCAAAGAAAACATCGTCAACTTCTACGGCATGTGTCAGTGGCCTATTAGATTGACAAATGATCATGAAACAGATACAGAAATCTGAGGCCCAGACCTGAGAAGGTTGTAGGGCCAATGATTTATTGTATAACTGCATATAGATTTTGGACTCTTGTCCTTAGATTGTTTCTGGCTATTTAATGTTTACTTTATTGATAAGCTATGTGTGCAGGTTTTCACATGATGCTTGATTTCATCTCACCAGGCATAATTTTAAACATTAAAGACAAATTGGTACAGCCCAAATGATTTTCCAAGCTACTTATAATATGTAGAAGTTTGTATGTGGACTAAGAATTTTATACATCTTTTGGCGTGATTACCAATCTATCGATATAATATACGGCTTACGGCTTTATCTCTGAAATGTAACAGAACTATATTATCATTAAGACTTTTATAAACCGTACAGTATAGATTAATGGTTAATGCAATGGTACTAATTAATTTCAATAAAGAAGGAAAATCTTTTGACTTGACTTTTATTCACTTTAATTATATTGTAATATAAATTATTTAAACTAATTAACATTTACAGTACCTAATTACTAATGTTTTTTACTTAATACAAAATGTACTCACAACCGCCTTAAAATAACAATTTATAATCCTAACACTTATGCTATAGTGTTCACTAGCACTTAACAGTATGATTTTAATTCTTGCTACGTATAGTTGCTAGCATAATACTAGCTCAAAAGCCTTGATCATTTTGAGACTACGCCCTGAGTCTAGCACCGTGATGTCACTGGGCGGCGTCGACATTCACGTAGTGAAGCCTCCGTTGGTAGATATTGACATCTTTAATTACTTCATCAACGCATGCTGTGTTTAACAGCTTTGGATGTCGATGTGCGTTATCGACTTGAAGTACCTTTTTTTCAGGACCTTAGTACTTACTGTACGTTTCTTTTGCTGGTTCACGTTGTTCTTATTAGTCATAATTCCTGGTTGGAAACAGACTTTTAAATACATTTGAATGTTTTTTGAATTGCACAGGTTTATTGACTCTGAATACTCTGATATTCTTTACACCTGATGACAAGAAACCAAACCCTATAAATTAGCTTTAGATGCGAGAAATTTCCTCATTCGAAAGAGCCTTTTTCACCGAGTGTGCGATTAGCGGCACAAATCTCGTACGGACGTAGCAAATCCGTCAATTATAAGGACTTATACGATTTATCGCATGACCAATTCTCCCAAAGTCTCGTAAATCATATTATCTTTATGCTACGTAACGGATCTAAATCATATGATGGAAAAATATCTATAATTCGTTTATAGAGGCCTATATGATATTACACATTATTTTCAGTTATTATTTCACTATTAAATTCGTTATGGGTGTAAATGAATGTATTATTTTATTATCAAATTCACTAAACTTGTTTTGGTACAGCCTTGCGATTCTGTAACTCGAACCTCCAACCTGAGTTCGAAAAGTGAGTTACAGAATCGCAAGGCAGTTTACTTTGCTTGTGTAGCTTTTTTACGTAACTTTTCTTTTCATTATTGGTCATGAAACTAATGCGCTACTAAAGCCGCGTATCGACTACGCGCTCCAAGAGGGCGAACATTGGCGCGCCTCCAGCCGCGCGCAATGGTTACCACTTTGGAACGCGCGCCAATGTGTTTGTTGGAGCGCGAACGCGGGGCGGTCCGTTCCGACGGGTGACGTTTTTTACCACGCCAACGTGGCGCGGGGCGCCGCCAGTTGGGACCGGATATATCGTATTTTTTTGTGTTTGTTGCGCTCCCAATTATGGATAACCAAAGTTGCCGTAAATTAATACAACTGTATGGTACAAAAGAACTACTGTGGAATAGCAAAAGTTCTTCGTATCATAATAAATCGCTTAGAGAAGATGCTTGGAGAGAAATCAGTAGTGAAATGGGAGTCCCTATGCCGGAATTAAAGAAAAAAATGACTGTGCTCCTATCATCGTACAGAAGTGAAAAATTGAGAGTATCTAAAAGCCAAATCACTGGCTCTGGCTTTTTTTTGTTTATAA